ATCTGCCAGCGCTGATTCTGAAGATCATGGGGCACGGTGGCGCCGGTGTCGGACATCTACAGTGATGAGTTGCGTCAGCTCATGCTGCACATGCTAGAGCTAGACCCGCGAAACGACGACCGTGAACCAGATCATGGCGCAGCCAATGTCTTCAACGCCGTGCTCAACCTACACACCGAGCTAGGGCAAGATTCCCTGCAGGTGAGCTAGGCAAGGTAGCCTGCAGATGAGCTAGGCAAGATTCCCTGCAGGTGAGCTAGGTAAGATATCCTGCAGGTGAGCTAGGCAAGATTCCCTGCAGGTGAGCTAGGCAAGATTCCCTGCAGGTGAGCTAGGCAAGATTCCCTGCAGGTGAGCTAGGCAAGATAACCTGAAGGTGAGCTAGGCAAGATACCCTGCAGATGAGCTAGGCAAGATATCCTGCAGATGAGCTAGGCAAGATTCCCTGCAGGTGATCATTGTATGTTCACATTTAGAGTATATTAACAGCTCAGAGAGGAGAGCTATGCGGGCAGACCCAGCATACTGTGGGTGAAGTCCAGGTACAGATTCGTATACCCGCTCTGAGTGAGCACTGTGTGCTGATATGCGCGCTGTGTTGTGCAGCAGGGATGTTCCGGGATGTAACATGAAGCACATTCTTGGCCATGTTGGCTGTGACCTATTCGAGTTGTTGCGGCAATGTGGAGTCGAGCCTTGCGTTTTCCTCCTTCAGGGTGCACAGACCGCTCCCGGCCCGGCCTACCACATCACTGGCGGAAGCTGTCGCGCACTGGCAGCGTCGTCTCTACCAGAGCACACCGAGGTAGGCAAGATGCAGTCTACGCAGTCGATGGTGTACTGCTGGGGCGCGGCACACCACGCCTGGAAAGCTTCCTCTGCCGGGCAGGGAGATTGAGATTGTTGACGTGCGGCATCGGGCAGGACCCAGAGGCTGGGAGTCACACAAGAGTGGACGGCTGGTCTTGTGGGAGGTAAGAAGTCAATGAGCTGCCGCCCTATTCGATTGCATCAGCGATTGCAGTTACGATAAGGAGTGTTATGTGGTCAATAAGCACAGATATTTTCTTGCTGATTTGTTTTTTTCGACATAAAACACGACATTCGATATGAAACGCATGTTAGTAAAATCACTGCATATATAAGATTATCAATTCCTGAGCGTTTGTATGGACAGAATATTGCTAGTGAAGATGATGTCAAATGCTCCTAACTCGAATGGGAGGTGACGGAGCCTAACGTTCGTGCCCTCACTGATTTTGTCTAGCCACCCCTCCATCACCAGCTAACGAGACGCTCAACCCGGTTTGCCGTCGATCAGTCGACCATGTTTCGCTCCTCGCTTCCTCGAAGGCCAGTCTGCCGTCACCATAAACACACGTGTCATGCGGCGATCATTCACAACGTGTCTCACTCGTATGTTTTATCTTGAGTCAGTCTTCGCCTCAATCGTCGGAAGATCGGATGCAGTATACGTGGTTGCTGTAGTGGATATTCGGCGGTTTTGTCAATGCTGCTACTGTTTTGACATTTTGTCAGTATATCGTCACGAAGGTTAGTAGTTACTGGCTGACCATAGGAAGTGTAGCATAGTTATATGCGTTCAAAGAGGTCAGTATGCAACTGATCACCGATCGCAGGGACGCCTGTTGTTCATGATTATGGTCGACTACGCATTTGGCTTCGCATCAAACGCTCACAGTCATTCCTATCATCAAATCATGACGCGTATGCGGAATTAACAGTCACATGAGCTGGATGCCATGGACTTCGGGGGAAGGGGCGCGAAGCGTCCATTACAGAGCATGGCAAATGTTGTTATTTAACTTCTGTTTTGTCATTCGGTCAGACGAGGAATTCTCATGACGTTGTCTAGTGGCGCCTACGGATGCCTGGACATGGGAATTACAACGACGTATCACAGGTAATCCAGAGGAACGTGGCTTCCTCCGTCATTTTGCCCGCCAACACCTTTAGATATCTTAGCTTTAATACGTTTTACGTTGGACATATCAAATATGGGATGGATTAAAATAAAAATATTGCTATTAAACTAGAAATTATTTACTATCTTTTTTTATTTGCATGAACTACTAGAACTATTAAAACAACTCGCATTTTACATTCCATAATTGGTAATCACCAACTGACAATCACCACCATCACCAAGTTCCATCTTTCAAAAATGTTACATCTTACAGGCAAAGATGCGTGAGGCTTTGCTCGCGATTCGAAGTAATACTCGTGTCTTGCGGAACTGTCCACGTCGATGTTTGTAACCAATGACAACGGAATGTTTGCCTGGGGCGTGGTGACAATGGTAAAGTGTGCCCGACCTTTGGCCTGTCCGTCATCATTGATCTGCGGCGTATATTCGACGGTGCTGGCAGAAAGGAAATGTCGTTGGTCCGTCGTGGATTGACGGTTGCTGTCGTGTGCAGGTCGGCTAGGACTGGGCAGTTCGGAGTCGTCGCGCTGCCACAGCCTGTGCCCATCACGTGTGCGTCCAGCGCACGATCGGTGCACTGTGGAGTCGATTGCTCCATGTTGGTGACTACCGAGAGCGATTGCTGTCCTGCGCAGCACAGGTGAGATGAGGAGGCTGTGGAGGGGAAGGGTAGCTGAAGTGGGTGGACGGGAAGTCAGTGGACCAGAATGGTAACCTGTAGGATGTCGAGAGAGGGTACCAGCACGCGGATTGTGGCCCAAACTATCGCAAAGATTGGAGTTGAATAATGTTCACGTGTGAGGGTCTTAGAGGGAGTCATTGGGTTTTACGGTAATACAAGTGTATTTTGTGCAAATTTCATTTCTTCAACCGTTAGGCAATAGTTTTACATCTGGTCTAGTTGTTTTTGTTAAACAGAATGAAGTGGGATAAGCCTTGGTACCAGATCAACAATGTGCCAGGTGACAAGGCACTGAAATGCAAGTAGCTGTGTTGGAGGGTAGTAGTGTGGACACATAGCATCACACACCTACAAACCCCAGTGAGGCACCTAATGAGCTACCCCAAAGTCAAACTAAAATATGATGACAATGTGGCGCGTGCACAAGATTTAATGTTCAAACTGTATCAGTGTCTATATAGGGAAAACCGGAAGGCAATATGAAACACCTCAAGGAGCATGAACAAGATGTGGAATCATCAGTGGTGACAGCAGTCTCCGATCAGGCCTACCAAAACTCTGCTCAGGATAACCTACACAAGTCAGCCATCACGGACTACATGCTTAGCCATACCATGATTCTGTCTGGTCTTTAGCTAAGATTCTGTGCGACAGGAAGGCTCTTTTCTGGATAGACAAATTGAGACTTCATCCAAATTCGCAAATACGCAGAAACTGGGGGCATACACTCTGTCCCATGTCAATGACAATCTCATAAAGTTAGACCTACCCAAAGGAATCAGAGGACTGATCTGACTCCTCTTTTCAACTGCTACTATTTATGACAATCTCAAGCAGCTTCATTCATCTTGACAAAGAAACTAGACCATTTTATCTAAAACTGTTGCTGACATGTTAAATAATTAGATTCATCATGAAATAAATTTACTCCTATGTGTGACCAACTTTGAAACCTAATGAAGTGTACTATATAAACGGTTCTAGTATATTTTTAAATCAACGGAATTCCCATGTGTCATTAATATTTTGTCGTTTAAATTGAATTAATTATTATCGCATCCGGTGGTTAACGAGTGATTTCAGATCATAATTCACTCTTATCTTATCTTATTAATCGTCTTATCTCTTATCTTATCTTATCTTATCTTATCTGCTGCTTATTATGATGATCTGATGTGCAGGTACAACAAGCTTGGACTGGACAGGATCTTAACGATGGTAGGTCACATCACGTAGAAGAAGCCAGCGTGTTCACTCATGTGACGGCGCCACCTATATGCGATCTGCTCGTGAAAGACGCTACGCTCGGACGTCCCATGCTGCATCGTGACAGGTGGTGGTTTAATCTATTGTATTAGCACGGTGTTGACTGTGTAGTTATCGCCTATGATTGTTGTGCTTGCTATGAATTTGTGACGTGTTTTGAGTAGAGGGGGTGAGAGGGACGGAGGGATAGAGAGAAGAGGAGAGAGAAGAGCGAGGAGAGAGACAGAGTGAGAGAGAAAGAGAGACATACACAGTCAGAAAGAAACAGATAGATAGCGAGCGAGAGAGAGAGAGAGAGATAGAGACAGAAAGAAGAGGAGAGATAAAGAAAAGAGGAGAGCGTGAGAGAGAAGGGGAGGATATAGGAATGCAAATAGCTTTAAACAGCTCCTCCTCCAAGATAATATTATAATAACGTACTACGTCTGCTTAACAGTGAATGGTGACTGGACGTTTGGCTCGAATCAGTTTGGACAGCTCGGCTACAGAAAGGGGAAACTGTTCTGGTCCACATGAAGTTACTGTGTCACAAGAGGCAGGAGTCGTTGACATGGTGACGTGTGGGACACCTTTTTACTACGCAGTGAGCAACAAGGTACTGTGCACTTATCCCTGGAGTATAGTTACCCCTAAACTAACCACAATGAGGTAGAAATACCACAAGTAGCCCATACATCGAAGGAATATGAGTGGTAAGAAGAGGAGGGGCAGCAGGGTGAAAAACACATGTATTTTTATTAACATGCCACCAATTTTCAATGCTATCAGAGGCAGCACACCGTTTACTTGTTGTGGTGCCCACTCGGCACACGCAGTGGGTACACCCCTCTGTAGTCATCAGTTCAGATACAGTACAATTCATATATGCATCACTAAAGCTGTTAAATAGAAGAAGCTATGTTAGGAAGAAGTCAGGCTGTGCATCTCTTTTAGTGCTAAAAGCTTCGAATACACTAAAATAGTCAACACTGTTTATCGAAAGCAAACTCAATGCGAAATTCATTGATATGAGGCAGTATACACAGTGCTGTGTGTAATGTGTTTACAACCTATATGATAATGGGAATGGATTTTTATCCGAAAACACGTCAATCAGATAAAGCAGATATATAGCCGTATAAGTTCCATAAAGCTGTATTTTATTAGGTTTATAGTGACCCATCACTTGTCTGTATATCTATGGCAAGCCATTACCCTCCAAAATCATTTCTAAAGAATTTAAACCTAGAATCCCAAATCAATTTACAATGCATTAAACCATATAATGGTAATGGCTTGCCATATATATCACCATCTCTTATCTAGCACTAGCGGGATACCCGCCGTTGCCCGGGGAAATCAGTCACGTTACTCAGCTGGTGACCGCTTGGTTGAAAGAAAAATACCCCAAAAAATTCTAACTATCTATCCATGCACCCATCTATGATCCATCCACTCCATCCATCCCATTCCATGCCATGGCCATCCCATCCCATCTCATCACACGCATCCCATCCCATCCCATCCCATCTCATCTCATTGCATCCCATCCATCGCATATCTCATGCCATGCATGCCATGCCATTCCATGCCATTCTCATCCCATCCATCCCATCGCACCACATCCCACCCATCCCATCCCATCGCATCCCATCGGCATGCCATCCCATTCCATCCATCCCATCCCATCCCAAACAGTAAAAAATAATAAGAAATCAAAGATAAAGACATTAAAATAAAATAATTAATAAATTAAATATATAAATAAATTAAAAACAAATAATAAATTAAAATAAATTAATAATTAAAAATAATAAATACTAAAGAGGTAGGTAAGGGAAAAAGGAAAAAAGGGGAAAATAATTCCCAGCTGGTACTCGAACCCGAATCCTGTGTAGCATCGGATGTTCTAGTCAAGAGGCCAATGCGCCATCACGTTTATACACCAGATGGACCAGTAACATTTTTAATTTTTAAAATTTTTTTTAGCCAGAACCACCTCCCAGACGTGCTGATTCTGAAAATATCTTTAGTTTTCCTCTAGGCTGCGGAGTTCTCTAGTTATGCGCGAACACACTAATTCGGCTGAACAACTTTATAGGCCTATATATAGATCTGTGGCATTTATTTATTGCATATTTGATTAAAATTTTACTTGTAAATGTTTTTTTACTCTTCTGTAACCACATAAAGATGAGGAAAGAGCAGTATGTTTAGAAATGTTCTCGATTGATTTTGCCTTCCAAATTGATGGAATTTCAGAATTTCTGCTGTTTGTTAAATGTCTATCAAACATAAAGGTGAAACTTATGGCCCTGTCACACATTGACGATTTAGCCAGCGTATGCCGGAGTATCAAAAATTTGGTGAATACGCTGGCGTACGTCGAATAAGTTATGGGTAAGCTTTGTATAAGTTAAGAGAACGCTGAAGCACGCTGAAGCACGCTGAAGCACGCTGAAACACGCTGGTATACGTCGTAGTACGGCGAGGTCGTCGAAAATTTTTGAGCGATGCTCAAAATTTTTCGACGTATGCCAGCGTATGCCTATACGTCCCGCATACGCGGCCATAAGTTGTAGGTAAGTTATGCGATCGTTGACACACGTTCACACACGTTACTGTAAGTTACTCATAAGTCGAAATACGTCGAGATAATGTCTAGCGTACCCGAAACTTATTTCTACTTATGAGTAACGTGCTTTGAACCTATGTGTAACTTGTCTCCAACGCATATTGACGTATTTGACGTGTTCCGGACGACACACAGAACTATACTGAACGTGTTTCTAACTTACAGCTACCGTATAATGCGTATTGGCAGCGTTTAAGGGAATTGGTATATAAAATGGTATTGGCATGTTGATACTGCGAAGGTGATGTTGATACTGCGATGTCTAGTGCGGTTATGATTTGAATCGTCGAGCGGCAGCATTTTTATAGGCTACGACACGTGATCGTCGGCGATATGCTGCCGCGCGCTATGCATAAGTTAAACTATCGTTGGGCATAAGTTGTGAACGCCGGCAACACGCTAAGCATTCGTTGGTATAAGTTATCTATAAATTATCGAAACGTTCTATATACGTTACTAATACGTTAAGTATACGTCCAAAACTCGTTATGAATACGCTATGTATACGCCCAAAATTGAAAAAACAATCGATAGTTCAGCGTATGCCAGCGTTTTAGAGAAATTTTGATACGTCCGGCATACGCTGGCTAAATCGTCAATGTGTGACAGGGCCATTAGATAGCATGATAATCGGACATGTGCTGCTGATGGTGAGCCAATTATAGTGATGATAAAGCTTTCTATATCTGCTTATAGTGAATATATACTCCACTGCTTTATAGCTATATATAGCTTATTATGTCATGCGTGATCAAAGTGACATTGAATAATCATTACCGGTTGCAACATTAATGATGCAAGCTAGTGATCTAGCGCCCCCCGATTCGGCATTACAGAATAAGACCACAAACTAAAGCTAAGACTGAATCCGCAACTAACGTAACGAGTATCTCCTGTGGGTCGCCACGTGCGCGGGCATCTCACGAGTCAGACTCGTATCTGCAGGAGCACAGCGAGCTTAAAGGGTTGGCACAGGAGTGCACCTAGTCCAGTGTGTTTTCTCCTGCACGTCGTTAAGCTGGAAGTCTCCGGCTAGACGCATGATGTTCAACAGGCAGACAAACGAGCGATGCATGTAGTCAGCATACAGGCGGCCATCAACATAGATGCTGTACCTGCACACGAAGGAGAGAAATGCGAGATCGTAATGTATCCTATCATAACCTGTGTTGTACAATCGAGAGACGACTGAAGGAGTGCCGCATCGTAGGAAAAGCGATGGATGTCCGACTGCAAAACACAAACGTCGTGTTTCGGGTACCCCAATTATGATCGCCTGATGCAACAATGCAGAAAGGGTCATAGGACAGCGACCTTATTATTAATTAATTATTACGTAGCAATCGTGTTAAAGTTGTGGCGTTTCAACCCTTCAAAAGAAACAGACAGACACAAGACGAGCAGATACACCAGCATACAAATATCAAATTGCGCGAAAGGAAAGTTTCGCGGCAAAATTACTGCGTTCGTAAACCTTTGGAAGCTCTCTCGCGCGAAACAACAGCATTGCTGTCAAACCACCAATGTTCCAAACGCTGCTGCTTACGCCCCTGTCTGCTTGCCTACCTACCTGTCTGTCTGTCTGTCTGTCTGTCTGCTGCTTACGCACCTGTCTGTGAAGACCATGATGAGCAGCTGGAATTCCTGACCCTCGACGAAAGGGTAGCCACCACCTCGCTCCTCTTTTCCCCACTCACCGCCGATGCGACTGTTTCTGATGACGATGGATTCTTGCCCGCGCGCGTTCAGATGGAATCCGATGTTAGTCGTGCTGTTCCTCGGTCCGTCCTGCAGGTTGATGAAGAAACTGCGAGAGAAGGAAGCAGAGAAAATCGTGAGTGAGAGTAAGCTTCCATGCGGGTTGGGATACGCTGAGTGTGAGTACAGTGCAGATTCTAACGTGAGACTAAGGAATCATTCAGAGTAATGACGGCAGAGCTACTGCATCGAGTCGTGATTCTGCTTCATCATGTTTGTAATTATGTCGTGCCTGCCATGTCTTCGAGCTGTTCGATAAATCGTCACTGAATCAATTGGACTATTATTGATCTATACGTATTGATACTGACCCATCTGGTCCAGTACTGGGAAGCGGTACTCCAGTGATTGTGTATGCTTTGCCAACTTGCACATCAAAGTCCATTTCGCATGGTAACTCCTGCAGAGTGGAAAATTATGCGTACGATCCTTCGTTCTGAACTAGGATGTACTGCTAGGAAACTCGGGTATATTCGAACATGTTTCCCATTGAACATCACTATTATATCATCACTTGTATATATATTTATACTATTATATTATAACATCACTTATATGATTATGGTAAACCCATAAACATTGGGCTTCTTTAATATACCTTGCCCCTTTTAATGACACCTGTTACTTCTTATTTCGGATATTTCTCCTTTATTCATCGCTTCCTATTTGTTATTTTATTCTTTACGCCCCATTTTACCTTCTATTCCTTCATTCTCATTTTCGTCTTTCTATTTCTTCCTTATTCACTTTCCCGCTCTGTTTTCTACTTTTTTACCTACACCTCATTCTTTACCTTCATTTTCCTTCTGTCCATTCACGCTCTTACCTCGTATCACTCGTTCAGCCATTCATCTTCACGACCATCGTCATCACAATCCCCAGCTCCATCATAACCTCTCACTTCTAACCTTTCAACCACTGACCGCATGAAAGAGTAAAAACACTTACGCATGTTGTTCGGTTCGTCGGTCCGGCAGCGACGGCCAACACGCCAATGGCAGCAAGCAAAAGCAGTGTTCTAGACAGCATGTTGACTGGACGTGGCCCAGTAGATGAGCGGAGGTCTGGTTTATAGGCTAACTAAACTAAATGGTCTGATGCGTCTAGGATTTTAGGGTTGATCACGTGGCAACCCGATGTTCAAAGTTGAATGAGAGCTAGATGGTTATGCAGTGTGATTCCAGAGACCTAAAGATAATTTTATACGGTATTTGCTGATATTTAGGAGCCAATATATTCAATGTCAAGTTACCAAGTTTTATCTTGGGAGTCATATATCAGTGTTTAATTGCCGTTTATAAAAGTGTTTGAAATGGTATACTGCTACCCATTGTTTGCTCTGCTTGTAGTGATTTTTAAGTCCGTGAAAGGGAACGGATTGCACCATAATATCAGGAGTCAGTGTATAATATAGAGAGTATATAATATATAGAGAGTATATAGAGAGTGTATAATATAGAGAGTATATAATATATAGAGAGTATATAGAGAGTGTATAATATATAGAGAGTATATAGAGAGTGTATAATATAGAGAGTATATAATATATAGAGAGTATATAGAGAGTATATAATATAGAGAGTATATAACATATAGAGAGTATATAGAGAGTGTATAATATAGGAGTCTATGTGTGAGAAATTGCTTTACTTGCACATGCACACATTATGGCTTTCCGATTGATTTATAACATTTTCTTTCCATAGATGGCTCTGTATTCACGTGGGGAAAGGGTGCACGTGGACGGCTGGGGAGAGAGGGAGAGGACACTGGGATCCCTGGGGCGGTCGCTATGCCAGACAGCCAAGCGGTGATATCAATATGCAGCAGTCACGGGAGTACCATAGTTTGCTGCAAATGTGAGCAGGAGTAACGGATCAATGATAGATTTATATTCATGGTCTAGGAAGCGTTTTTGTTCCTAAGCAGTAAAGCAAGTTCCTGATGTAAAAAAAATGTGTAAAGAATAGCGTGTAAATTACGTTTGCATTAGTTGTCACGGCTACTAAAAAGTATTTGAAATTGTATAGCAATAATATCATGGTTAGGTCTTTTATCATTTCATATTCAATTGTTTTATCATTGCTTTATTTGTTTATTTAATTATCTATTTGGTAATTTTAGCCGACGTATGACCCGACTGATTCACTGACCTCTGGCCGCCATCTGGTGTCGGGTTTTGGAGACATTTCTGGAAACATTGTAGGACCTGAAGCAACAGCTGTTGTAGCAGCAGCCATTCGTTTGTGTAAAAATCGATGTTTACATATGATGAAAAGATAGATTTGTATTTCGCTATGTATCATGCTGTCATATTGAACACGTTTGGTCGCCTGGGCGACATGTAAATTGTCAACCAAGTATCATTAGATTTAACTATATATGTAAATCGTGATAATGTGATCTGTAACTATTCTAGACAAAGCTCACGTTGAACCTACTTAACTTATTCACACTTAATTCACGTATATAATGTAAATATTAAAATATGTATCATATTACATTGTGCATATTCTCTGTTATATGAGCGAACCATTCTTGACGCAATGCAGAATGCACCACATGTGAATATTTCATTTCTCAGAATCAAAATCACTCCAGCCAGTATTCTGGTGGTGGCATTGGTGGGGCTGGAGGAGGAGGTGGTGGTCCACCTGCAGCCGGTGCCACGGATACAGATGGCGCCACTGTAGGCACATGTGATGCCGCTAGCCCCGAGTGACTCTGGCGTGTGAGTGGTTTTACACTGTCGGATGCCTCAGCCTCCTCCCCTTCCTCCTCCTCCTCCTCCTCCTGGTGCAGTGCCTCATCCCATCTCAGTGCCATCGACTTCCTGCGCTCTGACCGCATCCCGTCAACGCCGTGTATTACTGAATTTCGAGGACTGATGTTCGGCTGCAGCTGCTGACGGTACTCCGTGTCGTATTCGCGGTCGTGGTAGTGAAAGTTGCCACCGCTGTCGTAGTATCCGTAGTCGACCGGTTCGTCGAAGTCGTCAAAGTCATCGGACGCGTCACGGGTCGCTAGCAGTGATCGGGAGTCCGCGCGGTTTCTCGGCTGCTTGACCTGAGGCATCGACGTCATCACGTTTTATTCTCACTACCTTAACTGTATAGGAAGTGCCCGACACTTAAGATCGTGCTGACTTGCAAGTGCGACCTACAAACCACGACTGACACGTCCAAAGCAGGGGGTTCAAAGCAAGCCCTACTTGGTTGAATTGAGTTGCGAATTAGAAACACTACTTACAAAATGTGGTACCATTTACGTTTTACAACTCGCGCAGTCCAATCATATATATATATATATGAACGCACAACATCATCTATAAATTGGTTTCACAAACTCCTATAGGCAGAGAATCAGGGTTCAATTATGCCATCTGCTCTGGTGGGTCCTCGTTTCAAGTTAAGCTGTACGGCCAAGTATAGGCTTAGTCTGAGTATAGGCTTCATAGTCTTAGAAGTTTATCATCAGAGCCACGAGCGCATTTCGTGCGAATTCTGTTCGTCCTTCACAGAAGCGACAAGACATACGACAATGTGAATACTTGCCGTTGCCGTGGCCTGCTGGTAAAACAGCTCCAGCAGGTAATGTCTCACTTAGTTAACACGCACCGCGGAGCTCGATCCCTGTACGACTTTTTTCGCCTTTTTCTTCTTTTTGCTTGCCGTTACGGGTTCGACATGCCGTAGTGAGTTACGTCGTAGTGAGATCTGCTCTGCCGCCATTCCTTTCTCCTGCGATGATGGATAACACATACACATATAGCACTCCCCTCGTTATAGTCCCATCATTAACAACCACTACGCAGAATTACATGGAGTATTATATATGATATCAGGAGTGAATAATAATATATCTATTATTATTCACTCCTGATGATATAATTATATTATGATTGTTATATTTCATATGACATATATATATATATATATGACATGATATATATATATGATATATTTTCAGGAGTGTCATAATATAGATGCTATGACACTCCTGATATTACACATGCTATATTATGACACTCCTAATACTATGGCGCAGATTAACCATAGGAACCTTCCGTTTATGACACGTGCTGCCACTTTACCTGTCCCTTAGATACCACACACGCTTTGTGTCTCAGTAAACTAGCCATGATCACAGATTTTACCACGAATTTCGTCTCAATCTCAATTTTAACGTCAGAAGAATCCAAAAGTGTCGATCTTCACCCTAGTCATGCTCCGATTCTTAACGCACGAGCGCTCTATCTACCCATATAGCAATCACAGACTGGGTAAATGAGACTGTTGCTCCTGTTGTGTCCCACATAGACATAACAACGCAACCAGGATATGTGAACGCGTGAAGGCCCTCGTCTGCATGCGGCTATGCGTTGTTACTGCTGGCATCGCGTGAGCGTACGACGGTGGGTATGAACGCACCGGCGCTATCACAAAATCCGCACCCCCTAAAATGAAATCCTGGCTACGCGGTTGCGCCCCCCCCCCATCTCAAAATCCTCGATCAGCCAATGGTATATGGAAGGTTTGGACACCTTCATTTCTCTGAGCCAGAACCTGTCACTCTTTATATATTTAAACGTCGTGATCTGTTTTAAGGATGCATTGCCACGCGAAAGTTACCTTTGTTTCGGCCGCGAGCTTCTCGTACTTGTTACGTATGCACGGCAGTTTGCGGGCAACCGATTTCTTGATGAGCCGCAGTCTGTCAGCTGCCGATGACTGCGGACACGACCTCGTTATGATGCTGCGGAAACGTCGGCGTAATCGGTGTAAATACATCTCCCTGGCTGGCTTCATCTAGTCGGTGCTAGCTGGCTGGCTGTCGCAGTATATCTGTCCGTCCGTCCGTTCATCCGTCCGTCCGTCCTTCCGCCCGTCCGTCCGTCCGTTCGTCCATCCGTTAGTCCGACCGTCAGTCCGTCCGTCCAACCGTCCGTCCGTCCGTCCGTTCGTCCGTTCGTCCATCCGTTAGTCCGTCCGTCAGTCCGTCCGTCCTTCCGCCCGTCCGTCCGTCCGTACGTCCGTCCGTTCGTCCATCCGTTAGTCCGTCCGTCAGTCCGTCCGTCCGTCCGTCCGTCCGTCCGTCCGTCTGTCAGTCCGTCCCTCCTTCCGTCCGTCCGTCCGTTCGTCCGTTCGTCCATCCGTTAGTCCGTCCGTTCGTCCGTTCGTCCATCCGTTAGTCCGTCCGTCTGTCAGTCTACATGTCTATCTACATGTCTACTCATTTATTCACTGATTAAATTAAACCGTCCACTTATCCATCAATATTTAAATTCCATGTTTCCGTCTAGAGTGAGGACGAGTAAGACGGGGAAAAGTTTTCTTGTCAAGATTCCCTGCAGGTGATCATTGTATGTTCACATTTAGAGTAATTAACAGCTACAGAGAGGAGAGCTATGCGGGCAGACCCAGCATACCTGTGGGTGAAGTCCAGGTACAGATTCGTAATCCGCCCTGAGTGAGCACCTGTGTGCTGATTGCCGCTTGTTGTGCAGCAGGGATGTTCCGGGACGTAACATGAAGCACATTCTTGGCCATGTTCGCTGTGACCTATTCGAGTTGTTGCGGCAATGTGGAGTCGAGCCTTGCGTTTTCCTCCTTCAGGGTGCACAGACCGCTCCCGGCCCGGCCTACCACATCACTGGGGAAGCTGTCGCGCACTGGCAGCGTCGTCTCTACCCAGAGCACAGCCGAGGTAGGCAAGATGCAGTCTACGCAGTCGATGGTGTACTGCTGGGGCGCGGGCATCACCACGCCTGGAAAGCTTCCTCTGCCGGGCAGGGAGATTGAGATCGTTGAGGTGGGCATCGGCAGGACCCAGAAGGCGGGAGTCACAAAGAGTGGACGGCTGGTCTTGTGGGAGGTAAGAGTCAATGAGCTGCCGCCCTATTGCGATTGGCATCAGTCGATTGCAGGTTACGATAAGGAGTGTTATGTGGTCAATAAGCACAGATATTTTTCGTGTGATTTGTTGTTTTTCGACATAAAACACATAGATTCGATATGAAACGCATGTTAGTAAATCCACTGCATATATAAGATTACAATTCCTGAGCGTTTGTATGGAACAGAATATTGCTAGTGAAGATGATGTCAAATGCTCTTAACTCGAATGGGAGGTGACGGCCTAACGTTCGTGCCCTCACTGGATTTTGTCTAGCCGACCCCCTCCATCGCACCAGCTAACGAGACGCTCAACCCGGTTGCCGTCGATCAGTCGACCATGTTCGCTCCTCGCTTCCTCGAAGGCCAGTCTGCCGTCACCATAACACACGTGTCATGCGGCGATCTGTTCACAACGTGTCTCACTGGTATGTTTTATCTTGAGTCAGTCTTCGCTCAATCGTCGGAAGATCGGATGCAGTATACGTGGTTGCTGTAGTGGATATTCGGCGGTTTTGTCAATGCTGCCTACTGTTTTGACATTTAGTCAGTATATCGTCACGAAGTTAGTAGTTACTGGCTGAGACTATAGCATGAAGTGGTAGCATCGAGTTATATGCGTTCAAAGAGTCAGTATGCTAACTGATCACCGATCGCAGGGACGCTGTTGTTCATGATCATGGTCGACTACGCATTTGGGCTTGCATCAAACGCTCACAGTCATTCCTATCATCAAATCATACGCGGTATGCGGAATTAACAGTCACATGAGCTGGATCGCATGGAACTTCGGGGGGGAAGGGGGCGAAGCGTCCATTACAGAGCATGGCAAAGTTGTTATTTAACTCTGTTTTGTCATTCGGTCAGACCGAGGAATTCTCATGACGTTCGGTAGTGGCGCCTACGGATGCCTTGGACATGGGAATTACAACGACGTATCACAGGTAATCCAGAGGAACGTGGCTTCCTCCTGTCATTTTGCCCGCCACACCTTTAGATATCTTAGCTTTAATACGTTTTACGTTGGACATATCAAATATGGGATGATTAAAATAAAAATATTGCTGATTAAACTAGAAATTATTCACTACCTTTTTTTATTTGCATGAACTATTAAGAACTATTAAACAACTCGCATTTTACATTCCATAAATGTGGTAATCACCAACTGACAATCACCACCAAGTTCCATCTTTCAAAAATGTTACATCTTACAGGCAAAGATCGTTGAGGCTTTGCTCGGATTCGAAGTAATACTCGTGTCTTGCGGAACGTCCCACGTCATGGTTGTAACCAATGACAACGAAGTGTTTGCCTGGGGGCGTGGTGACAATGGTAAGTGTGCCCGACCTTGGGCCTGTCCGTCATCATTGATTCTGCGGCGTATATTCGACGGTTGCTGGCAGAAAGGAAATGTCGTTGGTCGTCGTGGATTGACGGTTGCTGTCGTGTGCAGGTCGGCTAGGACTGGGCAGTTCGGAGTCGTTTGCGCTGCCACAGCCTGTGCCCATCACGTGTGCGTCCAGCGCACGATCGGTGCACTGCGGAGTCGATTGCTCCATGTTGGTGACTACTGAGAGCCGATTGCTGTCCTGCGGCAGCAACAGGTGAGGAGGCTGTGGAGGGGAAGGGTAGCATGAAGTGGGTGGAGGGAAGGCAGTGGACCAGAATGGTAACCTGTAGGATGTCGAGAGAGGGTACCAGCACGCGGATTGTGGCCCAAAACTATCGCAAAGATTGGAGTTGAATAATGTTCACGTGTGAGGGTCTTAGAGTGAGTTCATTGGGTTTTACGGTAATACAAATGTATTTTTGGCAAATTTCATTTCTTCAACCGGTTAGCAATAGTTTTGACATCTGGTCTAGTTGTTTTTGTTAAACAGAATGAAGTGGGATAAGCCTGGTACCAGATCAACAATGTGCAGGTGACAAGGCACTGAAATGCAAGTAGCTGGTGTTGGAGGGTGCGAGTAGTGTGGACACATAGCACCAGCACACCCTACAAACCCCAGTGAGGCACCTAATGAGCTACCCCAAAGTCAAACTAAAATATGATGACACATGTGGCTCGGTGCACAAGATTTAATGTTCAAACTGTATCAGTGTCTATATAGGGAAAACCGGAAGGCAATATGAATCACCTCAAGGAGCATGAACAAGATGTGGAATCATCAGTGGTGACAGCAGTCTCCGATCAGGCCTACCAAAACTCTGCCACAGGATAACCTACACAAGTCAGCCATCACGGACTACATGCTTAGGCATACCCATGATTCTGTCTGGTCTTTAGCTAAGATTCTGTGCAAAGAAGGCTCTTTTCTGGATAGACAAATTGAGACTACATCCAAATTCGTAAATACGCAGAAAACTGGGGGCATACACCCTGTCCCATGTCAATGACAACCTCATAAAGCTTAGGATCTACCTAAAGAAATCAAGGACTGATCTGACTCTCTTTTCAACTGCTACTATCTTATGACAATCTCAAGCAGCTTCATTCATCTTGACAAAGATAACTAGACCATTTTATCTAAAACTGTTGCTGACATGTTAAATAATTAGATTCATCATGAAATAAATTTACTCCTATGTGTGACCAACTTTGAAACCTAAGTGAAGTGTACTATATAAACGGTTCTAGTATAATTTTTAAATCAACGGAATTCCCATGTGTCATTAATATTTTGTCGTTAAATTGAATTAATTTTATCGCATCCCGGTGGTTAACGAGTGATTTCAGATCATAATTACACTCTTATCTTATCTTATTAATCGTCTTATCTTCTTATCTTATCTTATCTTATCTTATCTGCTGCTTATTATGATGATCTGATGTGCAGGTACAACAAGCTTGGACTGGACAGGATCTTAAGCGATGGTAGGTCACATCACGTAGAAGAGGCCAGCGTGTTCACTCATGTGACGGCGCCACCTATATGCGATCTGCTCGTGAAAGACGCTACGCTCGGGACGTCCCATGCTGCCATCGTGACAGGTGGTGGTTTTAATCTATTGTATAGCACGGTGTTGACTGTGTAGTTATCGCTTATGATTGTTGTGCTTGCTATGAATTTGTGACGTGTTTAGAGAGAGGGGGGTGAGAGGGACGGAGGGATAGAGAGAAAGAGAGAGAGAAAGAGAGAGGAGAGAGACAGAGTGAGAGAGAAAGAGAGACATACACAGTCAGAAAGAAACAGATAGATAGCGAGCGAGAGAGAGAGAGAGAGAGAGGTAGAGACAGAAAGAAGAGGAGAGATAAAGAAAAGAGAGAGCGTGAGAGAGAAGGGGGAGGATAAGGAATGCAAATAGCTTTAAAACAGCTCCTCCTCCAAGATAATATTATAATAATGTACCTACGTCTGCCTTAAACAGTGAATGGTGAGTGCTGGACGTTTGGCTCGAATCAGTTTGGACAGCTCGGCTACGAGAAAGGAGAAACTGCTTCTGGTCCACATGAAGTTACTGTGTCACAAGAGGCAGGAGTCGTTGACATGGTGACGTGTGGGGACACCTTTACTACGGCAGTGACAACAGGTACCTGTGCACTTATCCCTGGAGTATATTACCCCTAAATAACCACAATGAGGTAGAAATACCACAAGTAGCCCATACATCGAAGGAATATGAGTGGAAAGAAGGGAGGGAGCAGCAGGGAAAAACCAATGTATTTTTATTAACATGCCACCAATTTTCAATGCTATCAGATGCAGCACTTACCGTTTACTTGTTGTGGTGCCCACTCGGGCACACGCAGTGGGTATACCCCTCTGTAGTCATCAGTTCAGATACAGTATAATTAATATATGCACTCACTAAAGCTGTTAAATAGAAGAAGCTATGTTAGGAAGAAGTCAGGCTGTGCATCTCTTTTAGTGCTAAAAAGCTTCGAATACACTAAAATAGTCAACATTGTTCATCGAAAGCAAACTCAATGCGAAATTCACTGATATGAGGCAGTATACACAGTGCTGTGTGTAATGTGGTTTTTACAACCTATAGATAATGGAATGGATTTTTATCCGAAAACACGTCAATCAGATAAAGCAGATATATAGCCGTATAAGTTTCATAAAGCTGTATTTTATTCGATTTATAGTGACCCAGATTATCTAGCATCTGTGGCATTTATTTATTGCATATTTGATTAAAATTTCGCTTGTAAATGTTTTTTTACTCTTCTGTAACCGCATATAGATG